AGCCTCCTGATGAGTCGGTGAAACTCCGACGAAACAGTTTGTCACAGCCCCTCGTTTGTTGTCCTCTTCTCCCTCTCTGCCTACGGTTTACCGGGCAGTTCTATTTGACGATATATATACTCTTACTCTTAATAAAGGGAATAACAGGTCTCTCGTGACGCTTCCATGCGGCCAGCCTCCCAGTGTTGGGAAAACAGTCGGGAACAAGGTGTGGGGAAACAGCCCAAGCGAAATCGGGAGAAACGCGCAGGAGATTTTCGCAGCGTCTTTGTCGTGCAGCACACGTTCGAATACAAGTGCATGGCAGTCCGCAGTGTCGTTTTGTTTTTCCTTTTTCAGTAGTGGTTTGTTTCGTGAGGCAGCACGTTGATGCTTCCAGATACCATCCGTGTCCTCAGTCTCTGTTTGGAAGGTAATCTGATGTTTTGAGTTAAAATTAAAAAAAAGAAAGGCGCAACGCGTGGCGCGTGTCAAGTTCTTCTTTTTTGCTCCCTGCACGTCGCGTTTTGTCAGCCTGCATGGAACCGTGTTGGTTCGCGTACGGCCTCGCTCCATTGGACTCACCGCATGCATAAAAGACAAAAAAGTTTCGCGGTGTATCTTGCCATGGTCACACCGAAGATTCATTCCTCGCAACATTCTGGGATGGTCCCAATGCCTGCAACCGTGTAGGTGCGCTTCGGGCATCACTCCACATGCACAACAGACAAAAATATGGCGGTGTATCTTCCCATGTTCATGTGGAAGATTCATTTCGCACAATGCAACTGTACACAAGGCATACCTCGGTCCATTTCTCACCACATGCACAAAAGACGAAAAATGTGGCGCGTTCTTGGACTCGATGTGCCATGCACAAAAGACAAAAAAGGGGGAAGATCACGGTATGCATGAAAGACAAAAATTATCGTCGTGTATCTTCCTATGTTCTTGCGGAAGTTTCCTTCTCATTTTTCACGTTTGTGAGTAGTGGGGCGGAGGCCATGGCAGCTGGAAAGGGGCAAAACCCAACGGCCCTGGCTCAGTTGATGCACGTATTGAAGTGTTGAAATGAAGACATGAGTTTGAATCTGGCTGCGACCACGATGAAATAGTTCTGATTTATAAAGGATCCAACGGCGTGCTGATACCTTGGCCGATGCCACCCCAAGTACTGCGGAAGCCTCATGTTGTACAACAAACCCCCTCGGTGTCACCCGGGCCAGATAATGGCAGTGCCCGGGGTGGGTTTTGTGGTGGGCCTCAGCTTCGCCGCGGCGGGTTCACTTTTTTTTTTTTTTTTTTTTTTTTAA